TGGCGAAGTCCAGAGGAAACCAGGGGCAAGCTTCCAAGAGCCTTCTCCCTTAATTCCTCCAGCAATGAGTTGTAACAATGCGTGTGAAATGTTGCCAACCAGGTAAGTTCATTAGACACTCCACGCCAGGCATTTTACTGGGGGGCTGGTCACAGAGGCGTACTGCCTGCCCAGCCCTCACCTAACTCCCAGGCTCCGGGAAGGAAAGCAGGTGCTCAACATAAACCACCTTCTTTGTACACACAGTTTAGGCACAGTGAGCAATTCTTATTGGAGAATGGTGGGAATCTTTCTAAAATCAAAGTTCCTGGATGCCAGACAAGGGCCAACCTTGCAAACAAGATTTTCTAATGGCAGCTTCAGGCCTGCTATGTTAACTCTTTTTCTGCACACCATCCTTGCCATAATCCTTTTGAAATTTAAATGCAATTGTATTATGTCTTCCTTTGTTGTTGTTTGTTTGTTTGTTTTTGTTCTCAGTTAATACATAATCAATTCTTTCTATGAAAGTTTCCAGACTTTTCATCCATTTTGGTTACCTACATCTGGACTCTGCCTTGACTATGTCCTTCTTAACACACATGCCAAAACTGTGAAATAATATTCCAGGCATAATTTCACCATAAATGGGATATTACATTTTTATTAATGGAGTATAATTATTTGTTTTCTAATGCTGCATTACTCATGGGTGATAAGTTGAGATGGCAGACAGAACTTGAATTCCACAACATTGTGTTTATCATCCTATTAATGGCATTTTGTTTGTTTCAGCACAATGCTCTTACTCCCAAGATGACTCTGAATCCTACCTCTATCATCTGTCTCTTGCTGACTATTCCTTCTCGCTTCTTGTCATGTGAAAATTATTAAGGGTTTTGGAGGCAGATCACCTCAGTTCAAATCATGGCACCACTACTTACTAGCCATGTGATCTTGATAACTTAGCATAAATCTTTCCTGTGCCTCAGTTCCCATGACTGTAAAAACCCCAAAAATTATCTTAACTCTTAGAGTTGCTCAATGAAATAAATGAGATAATGAACGTAAGAAGCCTGGCATATTGTAACTCCATAATAAACATTAATTATTAACTAATCTAAATTATTGATAAGAATAATAAACAGGTTGGTATCAGAGATGAAGCTCCATGGCACTTTTTGGGTAATTTCTCTCAGAGATGACAGCATTCAAAATTCTTTGAGAATATCAGTTCAACCAGATTTATGCTTAATTATTACATATGTAAGTCCAATATAAAAAACTTCAAGATACAGAAACATATTAATTATTATCAATTTTCAGTTATGTTAAAAGACTACAGTGTCTATGTTTAACCTTCTTATCACCTGATAAATACTGGTGTGAAGAAAAAGAAATCAAGATAGACTAGACTGGCAAGAAAATCCCTATCACTGAGAAGATAATTTCAACAGTTCAAGAAATTCCTACCCACGTTAGAGGTCTGGCAGAATAAGAGATAAACACATTCCTGTGCTTACTGCTGTAATTAAGTAAGGCAATACAATGAAAATAAAATGTTAAAATGATAATCAAAGTACAATTAAAAAAAAAAGGAGCATTTTTTAGACACTTCATCTTTTATTAATAAGAAACATCCAGGGAATACTAATGAGAGTCTAGTGAAGCACAAATAGCCCCTTCATCTGCAAACAGAGGAGGTAAAATTCTCAGACGAAATGTAACATCTGTAATATTAACTTTAATGGCAGTAGGAAGCATCAAAATGCATACTTCAATACCGAACTTTAAAAACTGCTAGCTGACCTCTAAAAAGAAAATGACAAAGGTATATAAATTACAATATGTATAGTATTTAACCTCATTAACAGTCACATTCCTAAATTTTCCAAGAAAAGATTAATCAACCAACCACATATGGATAATCAAGGAATAAAGGTTTATACCCAAACCAATGGCTGTCATACAGTTTCTATCAAGCTAAAGTTTCCAGTTTGTGACTGTCAGACTCGAGTTCAAATCCTTACTCTGCAACTCACTAACTGTGTAACTTTAGGCAAGTCACTTAAACTTCTCTAAGCTTATTTCCCCAATTACAAAATGCAGATAATGTTTACCTCATAGGTGTTTTGAGAGAATTAATCAGAATATGCTACATGTGCATTTTACTGTGATTAAACATACACAGAATAACATTTATCATTTTAACCATATTTAAGGGTGCAGTTCTGTGGCATTAGGTATATTCACACTGTTGTGCAACCATCACCAGTGATAATGTTTTTAAAGACTGAGCACACAGTAACTGCTCAGTGAATAGTAGCTAAAATGACTCTGATTAGTGTTATCCCATCCTCAGTCTGTGTAAATCATTTAACCATAAACAGAAACTCTTTCATATTTATTTCTACTGAATTACACCCAGTTTGGGAAATACTAATTTCAAGTATTAAGTTATAAACTGTATTCTTAGCTTTCAAACTCTTCATTCGAGTGACTGACAAAAATATAAAAATATCAGGTGCTAACACTTACTGAGCACTTAACATGTGCTAGTGCTATTTTAAGCTCTTTTCAGGTATTAACTCATTTAATCTGCACAGTAATAACTCCAGGAGGTATATAGTGATAATAGCCACATTTTACAGCTGAGTACAAAGAGTTTAAGGAATCTGCCCAATGTTGTCCAGCTGGTAAGATGACAAAGCCAAGATCTGTACTCAAACAACCAAATTCTAGAGCCCATGCCCTTAACCATTCCACTATACTACCTCTCACACAAGCAGTGACATGAGACCCATAGGAACGACTTCCAGATGTCAAATGTTATATATGTTGACTGAGAAGCTCTGACATCAATTATTTTGTGTGTTCTTCATAATGACAATGAAGAGTAACCATCCCCATTTTATAGACAGAAAAGTGATTTGCTCAAGGTCAACAGGAACAGGGGAGAGAGACCTGGACTCCAGCTTGGCCACTATTACCTATAAGTGCACCTACAATCTCCCTGAGCTTCACTCAGCTGTAAAATGGAAATAGCAGGAATAAGAATACAAGAAGTAAAGGAGTGTGTGTTTGCAAAGCATCTAGCACAGAGCCTTGTATAAAAAGTGCTCAATAAATGTTAGCTGCCCCTTCCTCATTTTCCTATTTGTGACCCCTGCTATAGCAATTCTTTACAAATACCACACTACTACTTCTTGATACCCTCTCACCAACTGTGTTAACAGATGGGTGGCAAAAAAACATGATTTTTTGGTGATTACCACATGATACCAAATGAAACCTCAGCGAAGTCCAGCTATATTATATAATTTTAAGTATAACAAACTTCCTCCCTTTTGTCCATATGGTCTGCCACTTTATCAAAGTAGAAAATAAAACTGGTCTACCAAGATTTGTTCTTTACAAAATTATGCTTAATGTTCCCCAATACCTTCTGTTCTTTTAGGTAACTGCCAAATAATTTACTTGATTTGTTCTAGTTTCTGACCAGATATTGTTTAAAAATTAAGTTGACCTTATCATTTCCAAAGTGATCTTTTTCCTTTTAAGAAAAGTATGCCTTTTTCTGTCATCAGACACTTCTCCTATTCACCATAATTTATCTAAAATAAAACCTAATAGGTTGGCAGTATGTTCTATACCCTCATATATGCGTAGAAAGAATGTCTAATACTGAATTTATAGGCACTATTCATGCCAACTGTAGCCATAGCAATTAGTATTTCTTGTCAACTGGGCAGCATTTTCTTTAGACAAAAATGGTAGGAAGTAGCATGGTCTCTTAGAAAACAAAATTGCTGCATAATTAACCCTTCCCTCCCCACCCACCCCCATAGCAAGGATGTCACAAAGCACTCCCTGTTGGCTTCCAAGTAACATTTAAATTATTCCTCTCTCTTAAAGCAATCTGGAAGTGGATGTTAAAAGCCAAAGGAATTTTCAGTAAAGTGCTGACTGTTGAAATCTACTACTTCCCAAAAGGTAAAGGCATATTGGGAGGCTACAATCAGAAGCACCACAGAGAAAAGTGGTACCATGGGAATAACTCTTGTGTTTGGCACAGGGAAGGCTCACTGCCAATTTGTAACAGTATGAATTCTGTAACTATTCAAAGCCAAAAATGAAGTTTGGATGTGAGCAGCTTTTCAAAGTAGCATTTGCTGAGGCCTAGTAGCTAAGTAGCTAACATAAAATAAATAAGCTGTAAGGAGTGGTAAAGTACAGGCAATGTTTAGGAATTGGCATTTACGATAGGCATATAACCTATACCTATCTCTTGATTTGCTGAAAGCAAGCAAGCAAGCAAGCAAGCAAGCACTGTGTTTCAGACAAAATATTCTGCTTCATTTGAAATTCATTCATTCTTGAGCTAATTTTGTGAAAATGAGATGGGGAATTATATTTTTGGTGCTTAAATTTAGCCATATACATAAATGACAATATTACTTGTCCTACTAATCTCATGAGTGTGACAGAAGGATAAATGAAATAACAGCCCCTGAAACATTGTTTAAAAAATTTAAGTATATAGTAACATAAGATATAGTTGTATTTTTAAAATTTATAAGCATCTACAATGAAGTCATTTAAATGGCACCAGTCTCAGTGGCCAGATACACATTACTGACAAATAACTGAGTGATGGTATTTTCTCAGCCCTTTATGGAATTTCATTTATCAAGGAATATGAATTGTTTTACCTGTTAATTCCTACTCATTTTGTTTTACTTTTAAAACTTACTACTTATAATAAATAAATCTAATATAAATTCACTTAATTAAAAAGGGAAAATTTGGAATATTATGTTGTAAAATCACTAAGATCTATGTCATTAACATCAAGAATTTCTTAATACTATTGCAAAGATTTTTCAATTTTAAATAAATGGGTTTTATAAAATAAGATGAACTTTCCACTACTGACATTCAAATCAAAAAAGTAAAACACATGAATGGTTTCAAACAAAAGCAATACTCATAACTTTGTCCCATTAGATACTTCAACTTACTTCATCTCCCTTCAAAACTTCGGCGCCATCAAATTCACGGGTCTGATTTGTCTTCAATGACACCTCTCTCTCTAAGCTGGCTAACTTCTCCTTCGTTTCCTGAAGTTCCTCAGCTTTGGCTTCTTTTTTACGAGAAATGATGGATGCCTAATTGAGTATTAAATATGAATGTGAAATTAGACATACAATTAACTTTCTATTACCATATGAAATTATCTAATTTTTAGATTTTCCCAAGGTAAATTTTCAATATCTGGTTGGCTTCTCCTAACCAATACTCTATTACCTGTCATCATTAATTATATGTTTAATATGAGCATGTAATGTATATTAAACATCAAACCAAAGACATTTTGGAAGACAAAAGCCCTGAAAATACAACTATATCGGCAGAGAAACAAAAATACTATAAAAATACTATTAACAATAATATTAAAAATATTCAAACATGTCAGGTAACACTCAAATGTTAATGAAGATACTTTCTAGGTAAGTAAACAGAAGCTATCACTAATGCTAGTGTTTTTCTGCATGGTAGCTTTCCTTACACTAGAGGAAAACAAGAATGTCTTATTCTCAAAACTACAACACAGGTTATCTTACCTAAATTCAATAGCTATACTTTTAAAATAAAATGTCAAAACATCTATCACATTTGGGGCATTCTAATAAATGAAGTGCAGGTTTAAAACCAAATATTATGACTCACCAGAATTATGCAAATGTTTACACAATCCAAATGGCTGCTCTCAGCCATGAACACAGCACTTTCTATTACTTAGCAACTCTTGGGGGGATTTCCTCAAATGAACCACGGCTGTACTACTGTAAGAAAAACATTGCCAAACTGTCTTCTTAAGTGACATAGTATATTTTCTTCACACAAACTTGACAGGAGAGGGGAAATCTCTGATATCTCTAATAGAAACCCTTTAAACTAGACTATTCTCTCTGTCTAAAAAAAAAAAAAAGACAGATCACGAAGGAATGTTTCTCTCCATAGAATTATTCCAGCCAAAGAGAGAGAGAGAGAGAGAGAGAGAGACAGAAGGAATGATAAGAGTACCAGAAGCATACAGGAATTGATGGTATACCTCCTTAACACAATAAAATAATAAATATAAACCTCAGTCTCAAAGCCTAAAAATTTGACAGGAAACGTTGGAATTTCCTGTATGTAGTATGTGATATACATAGTATATGATTATATACCTAAAAAAAAGAGAAGAGAATCCATGGAGAAACTATAGTAAACAAATCAATAGTATTCATAGACAAATCAGTCAGAAGACATAAGGGAAGAAAAGCCCTCGATTATAAAAGCAAAAAATAAAATATGCAAGCAAGAGAAGTTCCAAAACTTTGAGGAAAACGCACACTCCTGAAAGACAAAAAATATAAACTTGAACAAATGGAGAGACATAACATAATATGTTCTTGGGTGGGAAGACTCAAATATCACAAAGATGTAAGTTCTGAGGTATAACTGATAACTATAAAGCAAACCTAATAATTAAAAAACTATGTTTTTTTTTCAAGAGCTAGGCAAGTTGATAATAAAGCTTACTGAAAGAACATACAAACAAGAATTATAAGGAAAACCCTGAAAAAGTAGAGCAACTGGAGGTGAAGGTGGCTACTTTTATTATTTATTTGAACTTGATTATAAAGCTTCTATAAATAAGTTAATATGTGTGCCTGGACAGGCCAATGGAACAATAGAAAATACAGAATAAATCCAATAGCATTCTTAAATTTAAAATAAAACTCGGGGCACCTGGGTGGCTCAGTCAGTTAAGCATCTGACTTCGGCTCAGGTCATGATCTCACAGTTCGTGGTTTCTAGCCCCGCATCGGGCTTTGTGCTGACAGCCAGCTCAGAGCCTGGAGCCTGTTTCAGATTCTGTATCTCCCTCTCTCTCTGACCCTCCCCTGCTCACACTGTCTCTCTGTCTCAGAAATAAATAAAAATATTTAAAAAATTTTTTTAATAAATAAATAAAGACACAATCTCAAATCCATAGGGGAAAAATGGATTTTTTACTAAGTGATATTAGGACAACTAGATAATTGGATAACCATATACAATAAATAGCATATAACCAGAAAAAAACCTCAATAAATCAGAGATTTAAATACAAAAAATTAAATTGTAGAAATCCACAAGGAAAACCTGAGTAAATTTCTCTATAACTTACAAGAGGGAAAAATGTTCCTAAATATGCCTCAAAACCTGAAATAATAAGAGAAAGAACTATTAAATTTAATTTCATCAAAATGAAGAACTTTCCCATGGTGACATAACACCACCAAAAGCAAATTAAAAAGGCAAATACCAAGCTGGAGGAAAATGTTACAATTATAAACCAGATAAAGAGTAAATATTTCTAATACATAAAGAAAAAAAAGGCCAACAACCCTATGGAGAAATGGGGATATGGACATGAAGGGACAATTCATAGAAAAAGAATTAAAATGACTGTTACTCATGTAAGAAGATGCTCAACCTTGTTTACAACAAGGTAAATGAAAATTAAAACTATCACAGGATACCATCTCTTATCTACAAGGAGGGCAAAACTCTAAAAGTTCAACCACACACTCTTGGAGAGGCAGTGAGGAGGAAGGCACTCTCTTGCATTGCAGGTGGGAACAAGAAATAATGCAACTTCTATGGAGAGGGATTTGGCAATATCTAACAAACTTACATACACATTTGCCCTTTGATGGAGCAATCTCACCTCTAAGACTATATATCCTAAAAATACCACTGGCAAAAATGTACAAAGACATAGGCAAAAATCTGTTCATGGAAGCATGATTTGCAACAGCAAAAGAACAGGAGCAACCCAAATGTCCACCAACTAGTGACAGGCCGAATAAAAGGTAGTATAACCACTCAATGCGGAACTACGTACTGTGAACCAGATTAAGCATACCAACAAAGACGGCTATGATTAAAAAAAAAAACAAAAACAAAACAAAACAAAAAAAACAGATAATAACAAGCGTTGGCAAGAATGTGGAGAAATGAACACGTTCATACACTGTTGGTAGGACTGGTTTGGAAAGAGTCTGGCATTTCCTCAAAATGTTAAACACAGAATTATCAAACGAACCAGCAATTCTATTCCTAGGAATATACTCAAGAGAAGTGAAAACATATTTTCACACAAACGCTTGTACAAAAATGCTACTGCTGTATTATTCATAATAGCCATAAGGTAAAATAACCCAAATTCCCATCAACTGATGTACAGATAAACAAAATATCTATCCATACAATGGAAGGTTATTCAGTAACAAAAAGAATGAAGTACCTACTCATGCTACAACATGGATGAACTTTAAATTTTTTTTAATGTTTATTTATTTTCGAGAGAGAAAGAGAGACAGAGCATAAGCGCGATAAGGGCAGAGAGAGAGGCAGATGAAATCTGAAGCAGGCTCCAGGCTCTGAGCTGTCAGCACAGAGCCCAATGTGAGGCTCAAACCCACAAACCATGAAATCACGACATGAGCAGAAGTCGGACGCTCAACTGACTGAGCCACCCAGGTGCCTCAACATGGATGAACTTTAAAAACTGTGCCAAGTGAAAGAAGCCAGTCACAAAGGATCACATATTGTTTGATTCAATTTATATGAAATGTCCATGACAGGCAAATCTATAGAGACAGTTTGGTATCTCATGTTGCCTAGGGCTGAGGGTTGGGGAGGGAATGGGAAGTAACTGCTAATAGGTTTAGATATTCTAAAATTGATTGTGGTGGGGCACCTGGGTGGCTCAGTCAGTTAAGCATCTGACTTCAGCTTGCTGTCTGTGGGTTTGAGCCCCACATCAGGCTCTGTGCTGACAGCTCAGAGCCTGGAGCCTGCTTTGGATTCTGTGTCTCCCTCTCTCTCTGCCCCTCCTCTGTTTGCACTCTGTCTCTGTCTCTCTCAAAGATAAAGAAACACTAAACAATTAAAAAAAATAAAAGTGATTGTGATGATGGTTGCACAACTCTGTGAATATACTAAAAACCACTGAATTATGCACTTTACAGGTGAATTATATGGTATGTGAATTGAATATCAATAAAGTTGTAAAAAAAGGAATAAAGATTATTCTACTATTTAGCAGCATATATTAAGAATTTTAAAAAGAAAAGTGTGTATAATATGATCTTCCTTCTCTCAGAAGGGAGATATGTGAGTCTATGTATATATTATTATTTTGTTTTGGATTTTACTTTTATCTTGAGAGAGAGAGGGCATGTGTACATCTATGAGCAGGGGAGAGAGGCAGGAGAAGGGAGGGAACGGGAGGGGAGGGAGGGAGAGAGAGGGAGAGAGAGGGAGAGAGAGGGAGAGAGAGGGAGAGAGAGGGAGAGAGAGAGGGAGAGAGAGGGAGAGGGAGAGAGAGGGAGAGGGAGAGGGAGGGAGGGAGAGAGAGAGGGAGGGAGGGAGAGAGAGAAGGAGGGAGGGAGAGAGAGAGAGAGATGGAGAGAATCTTAAGCAGGCTCCACACCCAGCACAGAGCTCAATGTGGGGCTTGATCTCATGACTAGAAGATCATGAGCTGAGCTGTCATCAACTGAGCCATCTAGGTGTCCCATAAATAATATTTTTTAATGGAATAATTAACTTTAAATTTTTAAAATTACCTATAAGGGAAAAAAAGATTAGGATGGATAGCATAGTAGTAGCTGCTAGAAATTTCTTTGAATATTTTTTGTTTATTAGAATTGACTTGGAATCATGTAAATATCTTGAATAATTATAAAACTAATCCCTAAAGATAAAAATAAACATATATATGTATCCAGTTTAATATGTGGCATAACCATATAGAAGAACTATTCTAAGTGACTTTAAAACAGTAATTTGTATATTTCTAGTGGCATATATCCTGAAAATAAAACAAAATAAAGTTTTCAGCAGTAATCATATTTTTGGTGTATTTTTGGTGTAAAAGTAGTATTATGACTTTTATTTTGAAACTGTTGTGTGTAAAGTGTGGATTAAAGCAAATAATGGATTTAAATGATGGTGGTGTTACAGAGAGCCAGAATTTCCAGTGTGGGATAAGGAGAAAGATGTGAGATTGATGAGGTTAAGCAGAAGCCCAGTAGCCTTGAATTAAACTGGAAGGGTAAGCATGAGCTCAGGGTGACATTAAGAAGACAGGAAGAAAAAAAATATTTCCTAGCTTTGTGCACTAAAAAGATCTAAAAATGATGGCCAGTCAAGGAGCAATGAAAAGTGCTAATACCTAAATTTCAGTTGCTATATATAATTTCCTAATGAAACAAATCAGGCTCACAGAAGAAAGTCTAATTCCAAGCTGAGAGAAAAACTATAAAAGATTAACATCGAAATGTTCTTATCATACCAGAAAGCAAGGATATTAACAAAGACAAATAGAATATCAAAAAGGAATCAGAAGTTAACTTGAAAAGCCTCCTAGTAGCCAAAAATGGGACAATTTGAGCATCATCAAGGAAAATGTTTGAAGCTTATCAAATATAATTACATCTATGATTCATTGGGACATTAAATATCTAGATGATCTGTCCTCTGTTGTAAGTGGAGTATTAAACCCCTGCAATTACTGTATTCTTACCAATAAGACTGCTTATGTTTGTAATGAATAGTTTTATATATTATTTATATAAATATATATTATATATTCGGAATACTCCCGAATTTGGTGCATAAACATTTATAATTGCTAGCTCTTTTTGATGGATAGACCCCATAAATATTAAATAAAAAATCAAAAAATGAAAAACTAACCTTAATTGATTACTTCTGTTGGAGGATGAAAATGAGGTGGAGGAAACAAATTCTTTTTTAAAACTGATAAATAAAGAATCAAGCATGTACCTGCCTTTCCTATGTGAACTATAGTTCAGTTTAACCAAAGAGTTGATGAGAGGTTTTTCTATAGAGGCAGTCTAGCTAATAAATGAAGAAGGAATCACAGTATCAACATTTTAAAAAAACGTTTATTTCTGAGAGAGAGAGAGAGAGAGAGCACTAGCAGGGGAGGTGCAGGGAGAGAGGGACAGAGGATCTGAAGCAGGCTCTGTGCTCACAGCAGTGAGGAGGATGTGGGGCTCCAACTCACAAACCATGAGATCATGACCTGAGCCAAAGTTGGATGCTTAACCGACTGAGCCACCCAGGTACCCCAAGTATCAACATTTTATAAACCCCAATGAAATTAACGTATGAGCAATGATAATCAATGGCTATTAACATTCCAAAAAAGAGACAATTAGGCATTATCACCTCCAAATGGAAGTACATAATGCTACCTAGAAAGTATTCTTGCCAAAAAAATATCAAACCAGAATTTTTCAAGCTTCTAGTTCTAACATAAAGGAAATACAGGAAACAAAGGAACATGTTAAAAGAACACCATAGGGTCTTGATCTGTAGAATACAAACTACAGAAAATGTTACAGGATGAATAAACAAGTTTCTTCAATAAATAAATTGCACAAAAATGATTAAACAGATAAGTAAGTGGGAAAGAGAATCCATAGATTAAAACAGACTTAAACATATCAATCAAATGCAGTGTATGACTCCCATATGGATCCCAATTAAAAGGAAGTAGAAAGAAGGAAAGAGAGAGAGGAAGAAAGAAAGGAAGGAAGGAAGGAAGGAAGGAAGGAAGGAAGGAAGGAAGGAAGGAAGGAAGGAAGGAAGGAAGGAAGGAAGGAAGGAAGAAAGAAAGAAAGAAAGAAAGAAAGAAAGAAAGAAAGAAAGAAAGAAAGAAAGAAAAGAAATCAAGGAAATGTGAACACTGACTAGATATTTGACAATATTAAAGAATTATGACATTTTTCAGATGTAGTATCCTGGTAAGTTTTTTAAGCATTTATTTTTTAGAAATAAATTCTGAAGTATTTATAAGTGATATGAAGTCTAGGATTTGCTTTAAAATAATTCAGTTGGGAGTGCCTGGGTGGCTAAGTAGGTTAAGCGTCCAATTTCAGCTCAGATCATGATCTCACAGTTCTTGAGTTCAAACCCCACATCACGCTCTGTGCTGACAGCTCAGAGCCTGGAGCCTGCTTTCATATCCTATGTTTCCCTTTTTCTCTATGTCCCTCCCCTGCTCATGCTCTGTATCTCAAAAATGAATATATGTTTAAAAAATTTTTTTAAATAATCCATTTGGGTCTGGGGGTATAGATGAATCAAGAATGGCCATGACTGCTATAGTTGAGGGACACATGAGAGTTTATTGAACTATTTTCTCTACCTTTGTATTTGGTTGAAGTTCTCCATTACAAAAAGTTTTTTAAAATTTTAGCATCCTTGAAAAATGCTTTGTTATGTAGCTCAACACTTTCTGAGGTTATAGAATGCTCATCCTACTAAATTCCTCCTGCCTGGGGTCTTTTCAGATAATCCACGGCTTTCATTTGAACCTTTAGCCTTGAAATACAAGACAACATTTATACCCTCAGGATCTAATAGTTGTGGATAAAATAATATCTTAGCCCTAAAATTTAACTTATTCTATACACCAATAGTGAGTGAAGCAGCAGAAAGAGAAATCAAGGAATCAATCCCATTTAAAATTGCACCAAAAACCATAAGATGCCTAGAAATAAACCTAACCAAAGAGGTAAAAAAATCAGTACTCTGAAAACTAGAGAACATTTATGAAAGAAACTGAAGAGGACACAAAGAAATGGAAAAACATTCCATACTCATGGACTAGAAGAACAAACATTGTTAAAATGTCTATACTACCCAAGGCATTCTACACTTCTAATGTAATCCTAACAAAATACTGCCAGCATTTTTCACAGAACTAGAACAATCCTAAAATTTGTATGGAACCAGAAAAGACCCCAAATAGCCAAAGTAATGTTGAAAAAGAAAACCAAAGCTGAAGGCATCATAATTTCAGACTTCAAGGTGTATTAACAAAGCTGTAATCACTAACACAGTAAAGCACTGGCACTAAACAGACACCTATATCAAGGGAACAGAATAGAAAACCCCAGAAATGGACCCAAAACTATATAGTTAATCAATCTTCAACAAAGCAGAAAAGAGCATCTAATAGCAAAAAGAGAGTCTCTTCAACAAATGGTGTTGGGAAAACTGGACAACAGCATGCAGGAGAATGAAACTGGACCATTTTCTTATACCAAACATGAAAATAAATTGAAAATGGACTAAATTGAAAAAGACTAAATGTAAGATAGGAAACCATCAAAATCCTAGAGGAGTATGCTTGCAAACTAACTTGAAACCTGAAAAAACATATTGTCTTTAATTTATTAAAGATTATAAATATTTTGATTTTATACCACTTAAACTTTCATTTAAAAAATCAAATTCCGCACTTATAGATAAGCACAAATAGCTCTATCACCACAGTTGGTGGAGGCTAAGGAAACTAAGCATTATCAGGTGTACTGAATTTCAAACTCAAACATGTGTCTTCTATGGTTTTTCCACAAATTCTTTGTTATAATCTGGAGATTAGCAATAACAGAAGAACATTTATTCTTAACTTCCTTCTCATTTTAAGACTATCTACCACAGAGCCTAAGGTATTTGTAAAGATGTTCACCAATAAGATTAAAGATCTAAATATGAAAGCTGAAAGAGTGGTCTTACCTGCTGCCTGTATAGTGAGAGTTTGCCTTCAGTTGGTTCATTTCTCATCATTTTCTTTTCAATCAGCTGATTTATCTGTGTGTTTATTTCATTTATCTAAAACAGCATGAAAGTAAAAAAAGGTTTAAACTCTCCCTATGATTACATAAACTAAGGGACATCTGGCCAAACCAAGCTTTGAATTTACAGTTGTATGTGTGTGTGTGTGAGACAGACAGAGAGAGAGAGAGAGAGACCACAAATGGGGGAAAGGGAGACAGGGGAGAGAAAAAGAGAATATTAAGCAGGCCCCACGCTTAACAAAGAGCCTGACATGGGGCTTGATCCCCCAACCCTGGAATCATGACCTGAGCCAAATCAAGAGTCAGATGCTCAACTGACTGAGCCACCTAGGTGCCCCTGAATTCAGTTCTCATCACCAGTGATTTCATGGGAGGAACAGGTCCATTAACATTCTAAGTAGGTTATTATAATTATTTTTAGAAACAATTTACATTTCATAGTTCGTGATATATATTTATATACTTTGATTACTTACATGGATTTAACCATCCATGTTGAAATTATCCTAAAGTATTCTATGTGAAATTTTATACATTATTATCAAAAAGACAATTTCTAAAAATCCAAAGTTACCCCTCACCTAGGTTGTGACCTTCAAGTCACTGCAAGTAATAAAGAAAATCCAGACTAACATTCATGAGGGATTTAGTGCAAGGAATTCATGAACTTGGGTTCATGAATGACATCTAATAACCCTTCCTGTTCTAATGATCTGTGATTCTTTGATAGCTGTCATTTATCTTATTCATTAACCCTTTACCAAATGTAATAAAATAAAAGTAAATAAGCCAATAGAAGCATATAGTCCCTCAAAAAAATAAAAAAAAATTACATGGCTTTCAGTATATCTATCCTTTGAAAAGACTAGAGCACTCCTGTTAATTCTATAACATTAAATTTGAGCCAAATGTCACTTGGACATCTAATTTCTTTAAGTAAATTAAAGGAATAAAATGGCAAGAATTATGTATTTAATTAGAGTGGCTATTAAGCACATATTATGCATATTAAAGGATTAGTAAGCCAAAATCTTTCAATAATTGTTATACCATTTAATTGTTGTTTTTTAAAAATATATATCTGATTGGTGCTTTATTTCTATGGAACAAAAATGGTATAATATAAAACCAGGTTCCAATGAACATTATAAGAAAGTTTAGTAATTCCAAAGCAGGCATACATAAAAGGCAAATAAAAATATTAGCTTCATTTTTTTCATTTTTCATAGTTTATTGTCAAGTTGGTTTCCATATAACACCCAGTGCTCATCCCAACAAGAGCCCTCCTCCATGCCCATCACCCATTTTCCCCTCTCCCCACCCCCATCAACCCTCAGTTTGTTCTCAGTATTTAAGAGTTTCTTATGGTTTGCCTCCCTTCCTCTCCTTAACTATTTTTCCCCTCCCCCTCCCCTATGGTCCTCTGTTAAGTTTCTCCTGTTCCACATGAGTGAAAACAAAAATATTAGCTTTAAATATAAAATTGCTATAATATTATTCTTGGAAACAAAAACTAATGATATGCAGAATATTTAAAAATTTACCATCTAAATGATTATGAATACATAAACCTATGAGTCAAGCATATGCATTAATTTACATATTCAAGCTACTTAGTTTCCTAATCAGTTGACTAGGTCTGTATAACATCATATAGATTAAGTAACAGCATTACATGCTATAATTTCTCACAAAGAACAATTCCTCATAGAAACTGTCAACTCATCACAGGTGAACTTAAGAGTTAAGAGCAGGACACCATAGAAAGCAGTTCACATAATTTTCACAGTACTGGGGATGAGATAAAATGGGAGTTATAAAAAGAAGATGATTGTCACTTACTTTAGATTCAAGTTCAAGAAGATCAGAATGGCCCATGGCAGGCTCTGAAACCACTTTTTGTAAAAAATGCAATTCTTTTTTCTTGCTCTCTAATTCTTTAGGAAATTTTTCAGTTACCATGTAAGAATTAAATTTTATCTCTTCTTCTAGTCTCTTCATTAAACCTTTAAAAATAAAATAATTATTCAGCCCAAGAGAGTAGGTATAGTGGTACTTTGTGCACTTTAAAATACAAGATCTGAATAATAGGCTTATCTATTGAAAGCATTCTGTATAATAAGTTAACCATTGAAATATTTTTTTCAATTTTAAAAAAGTAATCTACACCCAAGGTGGAGCTCAGTCTCATGACCCCAAGATCAAGGGTCACATGTACTACCAACTGGGCCAGCCAGGTGCCCCAACCATTGAAATCTTTTGAATGACAACACAAATGAAATCCCACTCAGATTCTTTCTTCTATAAGTGGTCATTTATTCTTTTTTTTTTTTTTTTACAATACATCTCTCTCTCTCTCTTTTTTAATGTTTATTTATTTTTGGGAGAGATAGAGACAGAGCATGAACAGGAAAGGGGAAGGGAGAGAGGGAGACACAGAACCAAAGCAGGCTCCAGGCTATGAGCTGTCAGATGTCAGCTCATCAACTGTGAGATCATGACCTGAGCTGAAGTTGGAAGCTTAACTGACTGAGCCACCGAGGTGCCCCAACTTTTACAATACTTCTGATGCAATTTATATTTCTATTCTAATATTTCATAAATGGTAATATATTGTAATTTGTCAGCTTCAAACCAATGAAAACATTACTAAAGGTACAAGTTAGAATCCAAAAAATAAGAAATTATCTACATTCAGAAACACCTCTGACTTTTCATGTTGGTAGTTTTGATATTGTAAAGTATTAGCTTATAGTAGTGGCAACTCAAATTACATTTTAAAGGTTTAATAATTTTTCTTATTTTGGCAGAGTACACAAGCATACACATACAGAGATTTTCAGTGAATAATGGTTTTGTTATAAATTCCCAGCCTAGAGAGCTTTAAAAGGTTTATTTCAGATCTTTCCATGACACATTTACAAATTTCTGGCTTGACTTTTTAAAACATTGGATTTCCGGTTTAAGTAATCTACGTAGGTAGATTGCTTAATAAATTTGGCCCCAAACCTTAAAAATTATTTTTAGTTCTGTTGTGCTAACCATATATTAACAAGTAAAAATTTATTAATGGCAAAATCACAAGTTTTCCATTCATCCCTACAACTTTCCCCCTTAAAAAGGGACTGGAGAAAGGCAAGGAAGAGAGAGTATTTAATGAATCAGACTATAATTAGGCAGTCATTCCTATGTGGTTTCCGATTAAGTCTACATCCTGGCTCCTTTCGCTATCAGGTGACTGGTTTTTCCATCTTCAAGTTCTTAAACATACTACACGTAATCAGAGATGTAAAGAATCAAATACTAAAATGCTTTTAAAGACTTAAAATTCTTAAATATTATTTTCCCTATTTAAAAGAAAGATTCTAGGGGAGCCTGGGTGGCTTAGTCGGTTAAGCGTCCGACTTTCGCTTAGGTCATGATCTCTCGGTTTGTGGGTTCTAGCCCTTCGTCTGGCTTTGTGTTGACTGCCAGCTCTGAGCCTGGAGCCTGTTTCAGAGTCTGTGTCTCCCTCTCTCTCTGACCCTCCCCTGTTCACACTGTCTCTCTCTATCCTAGAAATAAAATAAAAAAAAAAAAAAAATAAAAAATAAAAGAAAGATTCTAATTTTAGAAAATACAAACTCCTGTATAGTGACAGAAAGTGGTTGCCTAGGGATAAGTAGAGGGGCACAAAGGTGCAAAAGTGAGATATTACAAAGGACACAATAAAATGTTTGGGAGTGATGAATATATTTGTTATCTTGATTAAGGTTGATGGTTTCAACAGTGTGTGCTTTATGTCAAAACTTATCAAGTATATATTTCAAATATGTGCAGTTTATTGAACATCCATTTTACCTCAATAAAACTGTTAAGAAACATAAAAATAGGGTTTCCATCACATTTAAAATTCTTCTCTTAAAAATTTTAACTTAAGACCTTGAAGAGTAGTCATATGTACCATGCAGCTTTTGAAAAATTATCTTTCAAAATCCTGGTGAAATTAAATACACGGTCACTCAGGAAACTTTCTGATTAAAACCCCCCTTAAAACATCTCTTTGACCCTACTATAGTGGAATGAGTAGCTTCTTTTATATAGTAAATCTCACAAAAGTATAGAGTATAAAGATGAATTAACTTCCATGAGTGTTTTACAACATGGCTGTTACTCTGAAAAAATACAAAGCACATTCCTACACTAAAAATATTTCTCATGTTATTTAAGTAAATAGAAACTTTCTATAAACTATTTTTCATTACTTAAAAAGTTTAGATAGACCTTCTTAAAGGAAATACCTGGATCAATTAAACATGTTTCATCTACTCTTTTCCTAGGCTGCTGAATACACCCCTTAAAGCTATTTCCCAGAAAGATGTCAACAAAGCAAGAACTCCTTAATTTCCTACTCCCTACACTCTGCCCCAAAGAACACATACTGCACACATAACACCTTATTTTTATGTTTTCAGCCCTGTTTTTCTTACTTGATTCCCCTCTTATCTGTGGAAAAGATCATTTTCTTCCTATCCAGGGTTTTGGGGTCTACTCCTACCTTGTAACTACTTAATAGGCTATTTACTGACTGCCTGGTCTGTGTAATTTAGTTTAGCATGCTAGGCCCTGGAAATAGAAAGACCAATTATGACTTGGTGACTAGTCTGTGGAGTTTAGTTGAGTCAGAGTCAGATATGCCAACAATTAACATATTGTGGTAATTGATGCAGAACATTCAATGTACTGCACACAGGAAAGGCTGTTACCAGCTCTCACCTTTTCCTCCTGAATCTTCAATTTCTGTTTGTCTAACTGACTCTCTCCTCCAGCACACAATCACTCCTATTCACAATCCCCAGTACACAATCACCCCTATCACAATCACTATCACAATCACCAGTACACAAGAAGTCTAGGCATGGTACTTTCTTATTCATTTGCACACTCCCTCTATTGCCTTTTTTTTTTTTCTTCTTCTTTCTTGCCCTCTTTTCAAAGACAAGCAGTCAGAAGAAGCCTACCCTTTTCATCTACATTTATATTCTTTCTGGTTAATGAGGTTTGGCATGGAATGCCTTCTACTCCTTACCTTTCCAACTTGAACTTAACCAGGTGCCACCTCATTCGGGAAGCCAGTTGACTCTGTGATAGGATTTGGTGCCTTATCTCTTTGTTCTCACAGAACCCTGCTGGGCTCCATCAGCAAAGTCATGATGCCGCATTATAACTGTTCACTGCCTGTCATTCTTGTATTAGACTGTGAGATCCTAAATATCTTTGTTTTCTATTCTAGCACTCAGCACAGTACCTGACATGTAGTAGATGTTCAACAAAAACTGAATTAATGCACTATAGTTTTTTTTTTCTTTTCTTAAATAGTTTATTGTCAAGTTGGTTTCCATATAATACCCAGTGCTCATCCCAACAAGTGCCCTCCTCCATGCCCATCACCCCCTTTCTCCTTTCCCCCACTCCCATCAGCCCTCAGTTTGTTCTCGGCATTTAAGAGTCTCTCATGGTTTGCCTCTCTCCCTCTCCCCAACTACTTTTCCCCTTCTTCTCCCCCATGGTCCTCCTTTAAGTTCTTCCTAATCCACCTCTACGAATGCACTACAGTTTTGAGCCATTTATTTCTATTACTACTTAACAATGCAATTGATTTTATTCAATATTATCTATTAACATTACTTACATTTATATTTTATACAAACATCCCAAGAGATGCATAAAACACAATTTTATTTGTAAATTTTATTACTAAGTGAATAATTATGTATTTCCTGGCCCAAATAATTTCTCTTTAGGCTAAGAAGGGCAAAGCAAAATAAAGACTATCAATTCAAATAAAAAATGAAATATTACTAATGCTATAAATGTCTTTGGATATTCTGTTTAGTTGTCAGAATTAATACATAATAACATATTTATCCTAATTAAATTCAAGGTAACAGATACTGCAGAACATTTTAAACTGTATTAAACTTCTCTGATCAATTGTTTTTCTGCATACCAAATCTTTCAGTTCTCATACACATTACCTTCATTTCAAGAAATTCATTATTTGTTTTACATTTTCTTAATGTTTATTTATTTTTGAGACAGAGAAAGAGACAGAGCATGAGTGAAGGAGGGGCAGAGAAAGAGACATAGAATCTGAAGTAGGGTCCAGGCTCAGAGCTGGAGCCTGGTGCAGGGCTCAAACTCACAGACCATGAGATTATGACCTGAGCTGAAGTTGGATGCTTAACCAATTGAGCCCCCCAAGTGCCCCTCAAGAAATGCACTATTAATGGTAAATTCTAGTCATTTCTTAGTAAGAGTAGACCTATACAAATCACTTATTGATATTAATTTTTAAATGGCTATAACTTATAGATTTCTTTTGAAGATTTATCATAATTTTTTACAGTAAGTTTTGAGGGAAACTATATCAAATTCAAAGAATATACACTAAAAAGATACACATTACACTTAGGAGAAAAAAAATCATATGAAATTATTTTCTTAGGGCACCTGAGTGGCTCAGTCAGGTAAGTGTCCAACTCTTGATTTTGGCTCAGGGCATGATCTTGCAGTTTGTGAAGTCCTAACAGGACTAACAGTTTGTGCTAACAGTGTGGAGCCTGCTTGGGATTCTCTGTTTCTTTCTTTTTCTGCCTTTCCCTCCCTCTCTCTCAAAAAAAAAAAAAAAAAAAAAACATTAACAGAAAAATAAGTTTTTTTCTTTGTCCTGAAAATTAACATTCTCCTAGAAAGTGTAAACTTAGTGAATAAAGAATGAAATGACACCAACAATTAAATGCATGGCAACTTCCAGGTATTGCCTGAACCTGAATTTATAAGACTACAAGGAGTGAGAGAGTCTATGGAAAGCCACCAATTAACATGTATTAACCATATATTTTTAGAGGCAACACTATAGTGGTTTTTAAAATATGAATTAAATATACCATATTTCCTTGATTCTAAGATGCCATTGATTAAGCAACAAATATCATGTTAAATGTAGGGGCGCCTGGGTGGCTCAGTCGGTTAAGCGTCCGACTTCGGCTCAGGTCATGATCTCATGGTTCGTGGGTTCGAGCCCCACGTCAGGCTCTGTGCTGACAGCCAGCTCAGAGCGTGGTCTGTTTCAGATTCTGTGTCTCCCTCTCTCTCTGACTCTCCCCTGCTCATGCTGTCTCTATCTCTCTCTCAAAAATAAATAAAACATTAAAAAAATTGTTTTAATTAAAAAACAATATCATGTTAAATGTACATATAAAATGTAACATATACCCCAAAGGCAAAAACAATTAAAATGGGAAAGAATATGTGTCTAGATTCAAGGAAATACTGTATTATCTCTTTTAACAATTTTATTGAAATACAATGTACATGCCATAAAATTCATCCATTTAAAGTGTTCAATGGTTTTTAGCAATTTCACATAATTGTGCAACTAGCACCACAATCAATTTTAGAACATTTTCATCAGCTCCAAAGGAAGCCTCTATACCCATCAGCAATCCCTTCCACCCTCCACCAAACACACAAACACAGACACACATAGAGCTGTCCCCACCCTAAAACTCCTGAGCCCTAGGCAATCACTATTTGGATTTTGGATTTTATCTCTCTGGATTTGCCTATTATGGACATTTCATACAAATGGAATCATACAATATGTGGTCTTTTGTAACTAGTTTTACTTAATATGTTTTTGAGGTTCATATGTGTTGTAGCATGTATCAGTACTTCATTCTTTTGCATTCCATTGCATGGATTTTGTTTACTCACTCATCAGTTTAGGGGTATTTGGGTTGTTTCCACTTATGGGCTATTATGAATAAGGTTGCTATGAATGTTTGCGTACAAGACTTTGGGTGGACATATGTTTTCAATTCTCTTGGGTAGACACCTAGGAGTGAAACATGCTGGGTCATTTTGAGAAACTGCCAGATAGGTTTTTCAAAGCAGTCACACCATTTTATATTCCCACCAGCAACAATTCCACATTGTTGCCAATACCTGTTATTGTTATTGTCTATATTTTTTATTCTATGAATTATAGCTTAAAACATAATATTTCATAGAATACTATAGAAAGATGAATTAACCCTTGAAAAGCTAGATATTGACATTGGAATATTTCTCCAGTACCAATGAGAACTTTCTACTGCTCTTCCAGTTTACATGGTCTCCCTTCTGAGAGCGAAAATACTTTTCAAATGCCTTAGATGGGTTTGGTGGTGTAACCTTGGGTATTAGAACAATTTATCCTCTGTGTAAAGCTAATGTGCCAACAGAGCCAGGGATACCCATGTCACTAGCACAACCCAATACATGAAAAAACACCAAGCTTTAAGGGTCCAGCATTTTATTCCTTTTCTTTATGGCTCAGGCTCTAAAACAATTATTCATACTTTTCCCATCCATCTTTTCCATAACATCCACCCTAAGTACATACTCACATACGAGACAGCCTCCCTCCATGGTGGTTTTCATTACCTTTACCTTCTGACCAAACACTGAATGGAAACTATAAAACCCCAGGTAAAACTTAAGGATGTCTTCACCAGGAGTCTCATTAATTAACTAGGAAATGCCACTCTAAAATGCTGAGCTATCACTCAACAATAATTAATTCCTGTGAGTTGATTGCTTTAAGAAAAACTACTGATATAAACTAATATTCTCTGATCATCTAGATCATATAATAGTTTCCACTTACTTTCAGGCTTCGCATCTGCTGCTGCGTGGCGCATACTTTTCAGCTGATTTTGTACTCTTTGCAGTCTCTGCACTGCATGAAATAGCTTTAAAATATAATTAGATCCATTATTTCCTTAGTCTATTGAGACCTACCACTCACATGGACAAGCAAAGAAATATACAAGTTCCACTTAATTCTTGTGATATACAAAGAACAAATAATAAGAACTAAGAAAATTACGGTGTTGAGCTCAGAATGTAATTGGTTTTCTCAATACCTTTTCATTTAAAGCTTCTTAAAAAAGGTTTCAGGTATTTTTTCTTTAGTTCTTTATTGTACTTAGTGATCAAGGAAAAATACTTGGTAAAGAAATACATACATCAGGCTTTTCTTTGTTTAATTTATTTCATTTTTAAGTTATTTCCACATCCAATGCTTGAACCCACAACCCTAAGATCAAGAGTCACATGCTCCACTGACTGGGTCAGCCAGGTGCCCCTAACATGGTTTTCTTAATTCTAAAGCATATTAGCATTCTCACAAATGATGTCTTAGAATCAGACATTGATGTGGGGCACCAAGGTGGCTCTGTCAGTTAAGCATCCAATTCTTGATTTCAGCTCAGGTCATGATCTCATTCATGGTTGTAAGACTGAGCCACGTATCACACTGAGCATGCTCTCTCTCAAAAAAAAAAGAATCAGACACTTATGCTAAGTAACCATTCAGGGACCAAGCAATACAGCTTACTAGTGCAATGGAACTACTACGATGCCAAATCAAGTTCCAAAAGAGCCAAATATCTCATTGAGTAGGAAATGGAACTGTTTCAAAGTGTATTTTTAATGTATAAAGTCTACTCAGTTTTAAGACAAATTTTTAATGAAATAAAAGTAATCCTTTCTAACCAAATTATATTTTCTTTAAGGCAAAGTCTAAAAATGTGGAGTGTAGGTGATTTTGTGCCTTTTTATGATTTGCTTATTTGCCCCTGGAATAAAGTGTAGTGGATACTATGATCGGTGGAATAAAATGGATATTCTCATAGCCCCAGGATCTCAAGATGCCCTTTGGAGATTCTGGAAGTTTTATCAGCAGTTAATCTTAATGCTTAATGTTATGATGAATGTTCTGTGATGTTGGGTCAACATGAGTTAAGCACAGGCTAAAAGGTAGTATATAGATATATACTGGGTACTGAACTCAAAAAGTAGCATTATTGCTGCTGGTGCCACAAAATCCTTTGAAGAGTATTCCATCATATTAACAAAAGAAAACACGAACTTCCACAATCTAGAATTCTTTTTTCTTCACATTCGGATAACCAAAAGGAATCAATTCTTTCACCACAAGAATATAAACTTTTGTGAGGCTACCTGATTCTTTTGTTCCTGTTTCTGTTGTGCAAGAAATTCTTCTCTCTCTTTTTCAACTCGAAGTTGCCTTGCTATTTTAAGCATTCGTTGATGATTCTGAACTGTCTCCACCTACAGTAAGGGAATAACTAGTACATGTTACTGTCAAGTTTAAGAAAGAAATAAGCATGTCATGTGACTCAGACATCCACTTATCATTTCCTTTTGGCAAACAGTACTCCCTAGAGATGACAGTGAAGTTCCAGACTCCAGGTCTTCAAAGTTCTGGGCTACTGCCTGGGGAGATTCCCTTTCTGTCAATGTTATTTGAGTCCATCCTCAGATGTACACCCATGCCTTGTTTAATCTTTATTTCCATTCCTAAATCTGTGCAAGCGCCTGGGACCTGGGGCCAAAGTCTTACAGTGCTAATTCTTGCCTTACCCTTTTCTTCAAACGTTCAACTCTCTTAATGAGCTGATCCTTTTCTTCCACCATTGCACTGATATCCTAAAAAGTAGTCAAGGAGACATTATAAGGAAAAGTATTCTTTGTAGAATTCAAAGTTTTCATATGATTGTGCATCGACCATTTTCACTATATATAACCAGAGCATCAAGGAACAAAGATCCTCTTTTGGATAAAGGGCATTTTTATTTCTCCCCAGGGTTCTTTATGCAGGGTAATTTATTGGGCAGCCTGGTGTTCATTTAGAAAAGCAACTAAAACAGGTTATAACATAGCAAGGTAAAGCTGCCAACCAGCACATTTGTGCTCTGATTCCAAATATGGGCACAAGATTTTTCAAAAGTCTTCTATAATGGAAAGTGTGCAGGTCTAAAAACATGAACAACAGCTGCTGACATCCCATCTGCTCTGTTGAATACCAAACTATATATTCTGCCAATTTTCCATCAAAATTATTTTTAAGGCTATGGTGTTTTCAAGACATAAATTTGCATCTTATTTTGTCAATTAACCAATTCCCTTCCTAAAAATAAAGGCTTCAAAAATAAACCACCTTCCTGTTAATCAGCTCCATAATATTTTCAAGTGAAAACAAAAATTCCTTCCTAAACCTAAAAAAATGAATATCCTAACTATCACAGTAATACTGAAGAGAAAAATAGACACAACAGCCAGTATTGACAGGATCCAGGGAAATAGGCACTTACTCACTACTGGTGGCATTGTATTGAAGAACAATATCAACAGTCTTAAAATAAATATATATACCATCTAGCCTGATAATTCTATGTCTGGGAGTTTTTCTAATAAAATATTCATGGAAGTCCAAGGACTTCTCTACGAGGAGTTTTACAGATGCTAATTATATCTAAAATTTGTAAACTACTCAGATGTCTGAAGATTATTAAATAAACTACGGCATGACACAATAGAAGTTATTACAAATTATGCAGAAGAATGTTTAATGACAGAAAAAGTCATGATAGGACATTACTTGAAAGAAGCAGATTATAACATTTATATATAGCACAATATGAAGAAAAAAATTTAAATATACTCAGTAAAATGTCAATAGTAGTTATCTCTACAGTGTGGCATTATGAGTGAATTATTTTCTATTTCTTGCTTATCATATTTTCTACAAAGAATATGTTCAAAAATACCCTGGTGATAGTGAAATTAAAATGACAGACTCTTGGTTATTTTATCATTTCATTTTACTCAGATGACATAATGGAAGAAGAGTAGATGAAGGTCTATCACTCTTGTTTCATACTATATTATAAGTATCCTACTTATGGATCTTTCTCTCCCATTAATATGAGTTCATCTTTCATTCCTAATATGCTCAAGAAACTCTCGTTGAGAAACTACCATGTACAGGGCACTGTCATAGACACTGGGCATACAGTGGTGAGCAAGATATATAGACATGGTCCTTGCCCTCATGGGGCATGAAGATAGTTGGGAAGATAGACATTAATCATAAGCCTGGTAAGTGTTATAAAACAAAAAGAATTGGGGGAACTAAGTCATCTAGGAAATCAGGGAAGGCCTCCCTGAGGAAGCAACTTCTATTGTTTCCATGCTTGGTGAGAATGTTAAATTTTTTTTTTTGTAGAATGTTAAGTAACATGTGTCAAAAGTCCTAAGGAGCGCCTGGGTGGCTAAGTTGGTTAAGCAGCCCACTTCAGCTCAGGTCATAATCTCACAGTTTGTGGGTTTGAGCCTCTCATCTGAGCTGTCAGCATGGAGCCTGGAGCCTGCTTGTCTCTCTCTCTCTCTCTCTCTCTCTCTCTCTCTCTCTGCCCCTTCCATACTTACTCATGAGCTCGCTCGCTTGCTCTCAAAAAAATAAACATTGAAAAAAAAATTTTTTAAGTTCTAAAAATTTTCATTGGCTTTCATAAGCAATTCAATTTCTAGAAATTTATTCTAAGGAAACAATCACAAATATCCCAAAATAAATGTATGTATAAGATAATCATAGCATTATCTATAATAGCAAAAGATAAAAAACCAAAAATGTTAACCTATCCATACTATAGAAAATTATTTAGTCATTAAAGATCACATTCAGATAGATAACAATGTGAAGGTACTCAGAATGCAGTAATTTAAAAAGCAAGATACAAATAACTGTATAAGCGTGATCCCAAATACCCCCAAACACACGCACAAAACCTCAAAGTATCTATAACACAATATTAACAATTGGGTGGTTTTTTCTTCTTTGTTCTTATCTCTATTTTCTGTAACATATCATATGTGTGTGTGTATATATACATGTATACATATATATATGGTAAAGACCCAAAATGTAATCTTTTTTTTTTTTTTATTCTTGAATGATAAAGAGAGTGTGCACATGTATGAATGGGTAAGAGAGAGAGAAAGAATCCCAAGTGGGCTCCACACTGATGTGAAGCTCAAACTCCTAAATCTGTGAGATCATGGGCTGAGCTGAAACCAAGAAGTCAGACACTTAATTGAGTGAGCCACTCAGGCACCCCTAAGAATGTAATCTTTTTTGATCCATGGTAGTGTGGTAGTGGTTTATATAGTAAAAAGAACTAATTATGAGTTTATCCTGGCTTCATCAATCTCTTCAGTAAAGAGCTAGCAAAAGTCCTACAAAAGAAAATCTGCCACTTGCTAGCACTAGTTCCCATATAGTTTAAAACTCATACTGAATTACCTAAAAACCAAAATGGGAAATCTAATATTCAATTCTAAAAATATATTACTATATTTTCTTTTATTTACCCTTCTTATTTCTGCTGTAGAAAATCCAGATGTCTTGAGTTGCTCACATTCTTTATGCAAAGTTTTAAAGGCTTCCATCAGCTCTTCATACTAAAATATAAGTTAAAAAATTATAAATTAATGACTAGACCCAGTAGGCTTTTCTTATTGATTAACTTATAGTGATTACTTAAACCATTATAAAATGACATTAAAAATACATTTATATAAGATATAAAAAAAAGTAGGTATATGAGATCTGGTCATTAAGTACTTCTCCAGGTTCTTCTCTGGTTACTTTCCTAACTCACACCCTCTACTCCAACTATGGTGATCTTTCAATCTCTGGAATATTCTTAGCTCTCATCTCCAGTCTGCACACCCTATTCCCTCTGAGAACACTCTATGACTTCCTCAACTGGATAATTTCAGCTCATCATCTGTCAGGTCTCAGCAAAGATACCACCATCCTCAGAGAAGACTTCTCTAGCCCTATACTATCTAGATCAGAGTGTCATGATACCAGAGTAAATATTATGTAAAATTATAATTGTCTTGTTACTTGTTTCTTTCCTACCATTAGACAGCAAGAGTCAGGAGGATAAGAACCCTACTAAGCGTGTATAATTATGTATCAGCATGGTGTATAAGTGATATAGATATTCAATAAAAAGTAGTGGAATGAATAAAAAAAATCACAACTCTTACCCAAAATTCTTTAAAAGTAGTGTTTTTTGTGAGCAATGACAGGAAATTAATAATATTTTTCTTGACTGATCATATCCTACAAATCGGCAAATCATTTATTCTAAAACTCTTCATTCAGGAAGACAATGTGCATTTTTTATTAGAGTCTGTGCTAAATGACTGGCTAAGTGTATCAGTCATTTTATATATATACCTCAGATATATATGCTTCAAGAACAAACATGTCTTTCTTATCATTAATTCTTCCATTAATTATCTGGGCAGATTTAGTAAAAACTATTAATAAACTTCTTCTAGAGGAATTAGTTTTAGTCAAGTTTATTGATGGGGGTAGATAGGGAGGAGAAAATATTTCACACTCATGCTTCTCTATTTCCTACATTATGTAAATAAAGCTTTCAAATGCAGGGGTTGGGTCTCCTTCTTTTGTATTTCTCCCAAGGTATCTACTGTAACATTTGACATGATTATCTCAACCCCTAAAATGTCTTAAGGAATCAACACTGACTCTGTTTTGAATGACTGCCACGACTATCCAAAATAACAAAACATGGATGAAGAAACATTTAGTTTTAAATAAATTTTTTTGTTGTCTTTTATTTATTTCTGAGAGAGAGACAGACAGTGTGAGCAGGGGAGAATCAGAGAGAGAGGGAGACACAGAATCTGAAACAGGCTCCAGGCTCTGAGCTGGCTGTCAGCACATAGCCTGACGCGGGCCCGAACCCAAGAACCGTGAGATCATGACCCGAGCTGAAGCCGGACGTTTAACCAATTGAGCCACCCAGGTGCCCCAAGAAACATGTAGTTTTTTTTGTTTTTTTTTTTTTAAATGTTTTACTTATTTCTAGGAGAGAGAGAGAGACAGCGTGAGCAGGGGAGGGTCAGAGAGAGAGGGAGTCACAGACTCTGAAACAGGCTCCAGGCTCTGGGCTGGCAGCACAGAGCCCGACGCGGGGCTCGAACCCACGAACCGCGAGATCATGACCTAAGCGGAAGTCAGACGCTTAACCGACTAAGCCACCCAGGCGCCCCAGAAACATGTAGTTTTAATTGCTTTTGATTCAATCCCAATTTTGAGTACATACTGTATAGAGGCAACTCTATAAAACCCTGGAGGAAAACAAAGATGGATAAAACAGGATACCTGTCTTCACAGACCTCATAATCTGCTGGGAGAGACAGATTGACAAACTATTCACAACAAACTGGCACAATCAATCAGTCTATGTACATAGTATAGAATAAAAGCACAAAGTGCTAAACAGAGGCACTTTTTAAAAATCAAAGTCCTTTGAAATCTTAAACTTGAATTCTCTCTTTCAATGGTCTTTGATCAGTACTATGGTTTGAAATCCCAGGACTAAGAGCCAGATCAGCCAGAATCCTCAATAGTCAAGAGCTTTAAGAATGTAAAGCCAGAGCCCAATATCCTAAAACTCTAGAAGGAAAGTGCACTGAAATTTCAAACTCCTAGCCCTTTCTCTACTTTCTGCCTAACTGGGAAGTCCTTTGAGATCTCAAGCCTAGCTTCTTTGCCTATACACATATCCTGATTTGTCTGGGACAGTGTCAATTTATAACTTTGCCTAATTATTTTGATAGTTCCCTTCTCTTTGATTTGGATGACAAATTGTATTGTCACCTAACTGATCAGGAAAATACTCTACAATCCCAAACCTAAAATCCTAGCTACCCACAATTTTTTTTTTACTTTTTTTTTATTTTTACAAACAGTTTATTGTACTACCCACAATTCTTAATAAATTATTCTAAAATCTTAATTTCAGGATTGTTTTCTATGTATATACCCCTATCACTGAAATGGCATTTCTGTGCAAAAGTCAATATTTTCATACACGATTGCACTTGGACATTACTAATAACTATTTAACCTTTTGGTGCCAGTTGTACATACAGAGAAGCAAGTAAGCTAGAGAGAGATTAACAATTATCTGAACATGTGCATGTTGGCATCCATTACAGTTTAAAAACGCCATTTGTGTATTGTATACCTGTTTATTGGTATCAGCCACTGTTTCATCCTGAAGAAACTCATTTGGTACCTCAAGTTTTATTAAAAAACGAGCTAAATATGCTCTTTTCTTCAGTTCATTAGTCCTCTGAAGAAGCCAGTGGAGCACTGGATAAATTACAGGTTTACTTCCAATCACCAGACCCTGACGAAAGGTACTCCTATAAAAAGAAAATAAATATGTGTGCATGCACTACCCTCCTTATAAAGAAACCTTGAAAAGAGATAAAAGCTCAAAACCTAATTTACAATTTCCTGATGGTTTTCCATGACTACTTAAAAAAATTAAACCAAGACTATTCTAAAGTCATTCTGTATTATCAACAATAAACATAAAATTAGACCTTTAGCATATCACTGGACTACAGGGGAGGTTGTATTGGAACCATAAATTGGTACAGTCAGCCTTAATGCTTCATTGAGTGGGCAGGTTTAAGTTATTGTTTCTGTCTAAGATGGCATATAAATGATAAGTGATAAAATGGAATAGTGGATTTGCCTGACCTTTTTGATTAGGGGAAAAAAATGACCCACTTAAGACTTCTCCATGACAAAATAATATTTAAAGTTCAAGATTATTTTGAAATTCGGTGATATTCTAAAGCCATTAACTAAAGGAGACCAGGTATAGCCCAGAAATTCTGACTGTAGACTATGAAGGTTTGGATATTACAGCATAGCTTTAAGAAAGGAACACGTGATCAGATTCTTACATGTCTGTGGCATTTCCTGGAGGTTTGTATTTAAGGATACCAAGGAGGCTCAACATCCTTTTGGCTGTCTGCTCTGGCATCTCCTCTCTGATATCAACAACTTGCTAACAAATAAAGAAATTGAAAAAATGCATTATTGTTGTATGTCTAACAAAGAGCAATACTTAAACTCACCGGCAAAGCTGTTTGGCAAGAGCATAACAGGTACAATGGACTCTTCATAAAACAGATTAAGTATGGAAGCCCCCAGATACCAAGTGAGGGTACATACAAGTCAGATCAGGATTCGTATTAAGAATGTCAAGCTTAAAAAGTATCCAGTGGAAGGACCAGTGTATAAGAAACATGAGCTAACTTGCAATACAATAAAACCTTTTGTAAAAGCATTTTCAATTCCAAGACCAAATCTGTTTATGTTTGAAGCAGAGAAGTAATTTCTAAATAAGGTACAAGTAGATAATTTAATTATTAAGTTAGTAGAGAAACCTTAAAGATCATTTATTTTTACTTTACAGGCATGGAAAATAAGACCCATAGGTTAAATAAATTGCCCAAGACTCATAGATACTTAGAGGCCAAAACTGGCTTTCCTGCTACCCTTTTCATCACAAGAAAGAGAAAACTCTTACCTTTGGGTCAATCTCAGCCAGAACATCATTTAGAATTTGCAATAGTTGCATTGGCTCCAGGGAATCAAATGTGATTAAATTATAGTTCTTCCTAAAAGGCTCCTTATTGAGATTGTCCACAATGAATTTGATTTGATCGCTCATAATTAGGTCTTATAACTAAAAATAGAGATAAAATTCCTTATTACTGGTAATAAACATTCTGGAAAAAAATCAGTATTGAATTTATAGGAAGTAGGCATGAAAAGTATAATTCTACATGGTACACAAAATGCTAAGAAAAAGGTTGTTTTGTTGAAAGAAATCAGAATATGAAGACTTTATTATGAATGTTACAGTACATACTGTTAATATTAAAATCGAATTTAAAAAAATTTTTTAATGTTTTATTTATTTCTGAGAGAGAGAAAGAGACAGCGTGAGCAGGGAAGGGTCAGAGAGAGAGGGAGATACAGAATCTGAAGCAGGCTCCAGGGTCTGAGCTGTCAGCACAGAGCCCGATGCGGGGCTCGAACCCAAGAACCGTGAAATCATGACCTGAGCCAGACAGATGTTTAACCAACGGAGCCACCCATGCGCCCCAATACTGAATGTTTTTGTATATTTATCTAGTATGATAGCAATCATCTGAGTTAACATTGAATTAATATGGACAAATGCATGATAAATTCCACCTACATTAACATCTCTTCCATTCAGCTCCACAACTATCCAGGGGTAAAGATTGTTAGGTTACAGACATGCTTCTAATTTCATTTTAAATAGCAGCCCATGTTTAAAAATTGGGAGATTTTTTTTTACATTAAAATCCAGCTGTCTAATTTCTTGTCAAAATCAGATCTAGCAACCCTGGCCACACATTTGTGCACAGCCACACCCAACTGAAGTTGAATGGATGCTGCAGCAAGCTTTAGCCTGGGTATGCTCTCTTTGGTTTTGTTCTGGTTTCCTCCACCAAGTACTCTTCACCCATCATCGACTCTGCCAACCTTGCATAATTCAGGCCTATGTTTCCTGTGCCTTCAATAAGGTAACAGCCTCAAGTTTCTGGCCCCCACTTCTCTTATTCCAAATCACTTGTATGATTCTTCTCACTGTTCACAAAGTCCAAATTTCTTGGAATTTGAGACTCTTCAAGATCTAGCTCAATTTAACTTTCCCGACTTTATTTCCAAATTGTTACCTTTCACTCTTTTAAACTTCACCGGACTGAAATAGTTACTGCTCCCCTAGTTTTTCCACATCTGCCTTCAGTTGATGCTGTTTTCTTGCTTAGAAAGGCTGTTCCTTGCCTGATCTCCACAGGTGCAAATCCTAACAGTCTTTCAAGCTCTGCCCTCCAAATGCACGTCCCTCCAGGAAGTCATTCTCTATCTCCCACATTCTGTATCAGAGCAACACTGTACTGCCCTCCAAGTTAACCACACTTTATCTGCACTGCTCTCTTACAGTTACTTTTCTGTTTTGTGCTAATTTTTTTTGTACATCTTCCCTTCTTTACTAAACTATAAATCCCATGAGGACATATCTGTGCCTAATTCCTTCTGTGAATACCCACTGCATCAAAACAGTGACTTCTTCCATAGACTGGATGAATGTGTCCACAGGCCCAAGGCCAGAAAAAAAACAAAAAATAAAAAGCATATGCATAAGTAGGTTGGTGGTGATCATAACTTTTTAAAAGATTAAATATTTAATTATTTAACAACTAAAATGGCTTTACCAAGGGTTCCTAGTGTTTCCGGCATGAAGATATCACTTGTTTAGTAGGGGAAGGAGTGGTAGAAATTTTGCAGGCAAGCAATTTTTTAAACTAGCAATTTAAAAAAATGAATTAAAAAAATGAACTGCTAAAAAAAGAAATACAGAAAAAACTACTTCAATGTTCTCTAACAGTTTTTAAGCATGAAATGAATAGATGCTATTTTATCAAAGTTGGGGCTGCCTGCATTTTGCTCTAAAATAGATTCTTTTTAATTGCGTGGGTGGAGCTAGATATTGGAAAACATCAAATGTAAAGATATCATTTCTCCATAATTATGATAAAACTATGGGTAAAGATTATTATTGTTTAAAAATAAGTCAAAAGACAATAGAAACCTCATATCAATGAGGTTTAAAATTTTGAGGTGCCTTTCAATCCATAAAAGGAAAACTTACATAAATTAAGTAAAAATCCACACTGGAGACCCAAGTTTTTCACCGTTAAAAGTATTTTAGGTAAAAATCCATGGCATAATCTTCCTACACATATTTATTTAATTTCAATGATTTAGAAATTATGTATATATAATATATAACATATACACACACATATACTTTTTCTTCCCTTTCAGAAAAAACAAATCACTTGGAAAAACGAGTGCAATGTTACCAGGAGAGGAAAAGAAGGTGGTTGGGTCCCCCCCCCCGGTTGCCCACCAGCTTTCAGATGGTCACCCGCTGAGGACAAAGATGTACTGAACAGGTAGGTTGCCTATGCCCAGTGGGCTCTGAGCTCTAAAATTAGCAAAAGCAATTACTCTCCTTCTGCCAGCGGAAAGTCGCCACACTAATTCACGAACACTTACCCACATAAGAGCCCAAGGGGGTGGGGGTGGGGGTGGAATTAAAACCAGGACGTGCGTTTATCTGGCACAACTGGGGACAGAAACGACACTGCCCTGGTCCCAGACTGGCACCAGCGCGAGACCAGCAGCCTCTTAGGAGTCCCAAAAATAGTGTTCCCCGCCCCCGCCCCCGGGGCTCGGGAAACGGGACAGGGGACCCCACATCGGACCCAGGCACCTCGATGGAGGTAATCTGGGCTCCCCGACCGCTCAACCCTCGGGGGAGAGGCCTGGACTCCCGCGAGGCCCGGCAAGCACCGACCCCCGCGTTGAGGGCTTCACGGCTGCGACCCTCCACCGGCGAGCTGCAGCACTGGGAAGGGAGGGGAGGAGGAGTTCTTTTCTTCTGGGGGGCTCAGGGGAGTTTCCGAGCGCGGGTTGGCGAGGTTACCTCAAATTCTCCTCAAGAAACCACTTTCCCCCCCCGCAGGAGGCATCCAGGCTCTAGTGGGTTCCTAGAGACGAGCTCCTTGGCAACGGTTGCTAGGCCGTGGCGTTACGTCACTTCCGGCGGGTGGGCCAGCCGGTTCCGCGAGCCCTCGCGGGTGCGCGCCGGGGCCGAGGTCCCCGGCCGGGAAGAGTGGCGTGTCCTCCCCACGTTGCAAAGTGGGTTTACGGGTCCTGAGCCAGGGTGAGGAGTGGAGAACATTACTTCGTGATGTCAAGTGGCAAGGAAAATATGAGAAGAAATAAACTGAATTCCTCACGTCTTTTCAAACATCTTGGAAAAATCCAGCTACAGATTTAGGATCAGTCTTAGAGCAAAATAAAACAAACAAACAAACAAACAAACAAACAAATTCCATATTAGGCATCTCCTATATGCCTTGCTCTGTGCTGGCTGCTGGGGATGCAAAGGAAGCCAGGAACTATGAGGGTCCCGTCCTCAAGGGCGGATAGAGACAATTTAAAGGCAACTCCAATAATACGATGATAAATGGCATCACAAAAGGACCCAAAGATGGGGGGACCCCGATGAAGTATTCCAAGTTTATTTGGGGCTGAAGGGATGATACTCTTAGGAAAGGTTCCATCGGTCAAAATGATGTTTAAGTACCAGTGAAAATTAGCCAGTTGGGCAAGGGGATATTTTTTTGGGCAGAAGGAACAGAAAATTGCAAGATGAATCCGTTGCTGGCTGCCTTCTGATTATTGAACTATCAAGCAGAGACATCCTGTGGGGCACTTGGAGGAAAACAAAGGCCCATCCCAGCTCACAGATGCTCACGAGGAGTTGGAGAAGATAACACTTCAGACCTTGAAAAATTAAATACTTTAAATAACTTTGGGAAAAACAAAAGATTCTGCGTGGGAATTGCATAATTAATTGATCCTGGTGAGCGTATTAGGTGATTCTCTGAGCGAGCTGGATTTGAAACCTGGGTCTGGGTCTGGCCTTTTGTGGCTTCACCTTTTGGAACTTTCCTCATCTGTCTATAAAATGTGGCTCTAATAATCCCTTCCTCAAGTGGCTGATGTGAGGATGGAGTTAGCAAAGGGAAAGTGATTACAACAGTGCCTGACATTGGAAGAGTTAAGGACATTTTTCCCCCTACTTAAAAAAAAAAAAAGAGAGAGAGAGAGAGAAAGATGGTTAGATTTGCTCCTTCTATAGAGTCTACAGATGTAGGCTATAGAAAGGGAAGAGTGGTTTATCGAGTAGTTTTTAGTTCCTCCTCTGCGTGTTGCAGCTATTATAGAAACACTATACTTTTCAGTTATGAGAATGCAATCTTGTGTAAATTCAAGTAAGTAATGGAATCCACTCTGCACTCAAACTTGAATGGATTTTATGCTTATTGTGGTTGCTTTGGAACACAAGAATTTGAGGCCAGTTAGCATGCTTCCTGGGATCCATACACTGAGAAGCTTATATTCCAACTTGAAGCAAGAAAAGAGAGACATAGAGAAGCCAGCTCTTATTAGGTCTCTGCCTAACTATAGGGCCTAGTTACAAGCCAAAGGAAGGCTTACTACCACCCACTGATTCATTTAAGATAAAACCTTGAATGGATTCATTGAAGAGTCCAACAGGAACTTCTCAGCAATAATTCCACACCACCCAAGGCTGATAACATACCAAGTCAAGCCACCCACATGAAGACTTTTTTCCCTTTTGGATGCTATGTTGAGTCTTCCTTGTAAACTTCCAAAGATGCCTCTTTGCTGAACTATATTTGACATTTTTAAAGCATTTTAATAATTTTTAATGCTTATTTTTGAGAGAGAGAGATAGGATGAAAGTGCAAAGTGTGAGTGGGGGAGGGGCAGAGAGAAAGGGAGACAGAGGATCCGAAGTGGGCTCCAAACTGACAACAAGAGCCTGATGTGGGGCTAGAACTCATGAGCCACAAGACCATGACCTGAACCAAAGTCGGATGCGTAACTGACTGTGCCACCCAGGCGCCCCTATACCAGACATTTTTAATAGCTGAAGGGAAGTCCAGTTATATGAGACAGTCTTTCTGAAAGATTCCCACCCTCATCCTGATTCTATATTCTAAAAAAATAGATTTATTAAAGTATAATTCACATACATACAATTCACCC